CTGAGAATCCAGTCCCTAACAATCCATAGGACTGGCACGTTTGCCGACATTGGGGTGATTTTAAGATGACTTGATTGGGTCAATTGATTGGTTTTCATATTCCAGTCCTCTAGATGGTTAGGGCTAGGGACTCAGCTTGACCCAAGACCCGCCCTGCCACGTCATCTCCACCAAGCCACGACGTGTCCGCTGTGGGCGGCCGCGCGGGCGGCGACCAAAGCTCCACATCGGCATGGCCACCCTGCAGCGAACGATGCGGCTGAAGTGAGTGGTCAAGTCACTCATCCCCCCAAAAGTACCTGAATCAAACACCAATGCCTATGCCTTTTGCATAACACATCCATCAAGAGGCAAGGACCGAGGGGGTTCGGGCTTCCAAGTGCAATTCTGCTCACGTCTCTTGTGGACAAGGCAACCTGCGTGTCCATGCACCTTCCAAGAACCGATGGGCGAGTACCCAGCAGATTGGTATTCTTGTGCCACTGCGATCCACAGCAGATTGGTATCACAATGTTTCCTACGAACGGAAGTGGGAAGTCTGACCTCTCAGAAGACCGGAAGACTCCTTTTCCCTTTCACACAGGGTTTGTCTTGCACTTCCTTGTGGTTGTTTTGGGGAATGCAGCAGGTGATTTTGGGGGTTTAGGTCCAGCGAGACGCGTCAAAGCTGAGAGAAGAACGCCATGCCGCTACCAGAGATGAACAGGGAGTGACCAGTGGAAGCTTTCTCTAGACTGACTCCCTAAGTTTCGCTTAAACATAAAGGTTAAGGCTAACCCTTTTTCCACATCTGTTCATTTTTGCGCGACACCCACTTCTAGGTTAGCCATAAGTACTAGACCCAGGAAGGACTGGTGAAGTACTTCGCATGTGCGACTTCGAGATGCCAACCTACCAGCATTTGGAGTCCCAAAGCAGTTCCGGAGGAAGTTGCTCCGGAAGCCCAAAGAGACACTCACTGAAGAATCTTCGAACATACCCCCCTTTGGAAATGCTGATATCATATGATAATATGACCATCATACCATGTCTTTCTTGGGATTCCGGCAAGCCCCGAAACAACCGCTGACAGCGATCAGCAAGCCTGCACACTAAAGAGGAGTCCAGCTGCGTCTCCCACATTCAAGAAAGCACCTGACATAAAAGCATCTTGGCACATCTTGCAATTTATTTTCTGAACAAATTGCAAATACATGTTAATATATATTTGCATATTGTGTCTCCTTACCAGTAACAGTCGGTAATGCCTTATGATTCTGATGATTCAGAACCAGGCACAGAGTTCGCACAACATCGCCGGAAAAAAAAGGATTTGAGCACAAAGTTTGGTCTTGTGCCCCTTACCCATTCACTTTCCACCGGCCCTCAAACCCATGAAACATACATGTTTTCAAAAAAAACAAAAATATCTTTTGTTGCTAGGGAAAACCCATGTTTCTGGTAGGGAGCTTTAAAGGACATCCTGGTAGGGAGTGTGCTGGTAGGGATCACCAGACTGCCACACCAGGGGACCGGAGCAGTCTAACAGTGGAAGACTACGGTGAAAACTACTCCACAGAATGATCAACGGGAGGCCATCGCTCGTAGGTTGGAGGCCATCGCTAGTAGTAACAAGAAGCTACTAGGGTGGAGGCCATCGGTACTAGGTTGGGGGAGGCCATCGGTACTAATTAGGTTGGAGGCCAGATTAGAAACAAAAAGGTATCGGACGTCACCGTAAACCCTCGGTTTAAGCCTGATCTGAACGACAGAATTCCAATGCTTCTGGTAGCACCACATGGCGCAGGAACAGGTTCTCCAGCTCCTTTGGACCGTTTACAAAGTTGAATACTCTGCCTGGACTCTCCTTTTGCGACCTTTTCTTGGTTTGTCATGGGCTTCCAAATATAGGATATAGGATCCGGAATCTACGTCTCCTGACAGGTCTGAGCCCCACTACACCTACAATCTAAAAAATACTAAACAATATGGAGATACATGGAGCAATGGAGCTGGATGGCATCTACGATTGATCATCAAAACCTAGGAGAAAGCCTAGAATGGGATGTTCATGTCGAGTGCGCCCCAAAACCCAAGAAACAGTCCAAAGGAATCAGGGGGGAACACAACCAACAGCTGGGGATGTGTCTCCCTCTCTATGTTGAAGCCAAGGTCTTCTACCCCCTGGAAGCGTCCGCCTGGAGGTCCATCTGGCATGTTACGCTGCTACACTTGGCATGCTTCAAAGCAAGCACCCAGTCTGGCATACTCCCTTGGTCCAAATCCAAGGCACGTCCAGAGAAGTCTTGGGGAATCAAACTGCCTGAACCACGGCAGCACGGCTCGTGCCACGTGTACCGGCCGCCCGGGGGTCGCCACCGTACCGTGAGGTTCGGTCATGACCACCTGACGCTCCTAGACACCCAACTAGGAGCAAGACCGCTATAAACCGGGGCTCCTGTTCAAACTGCTATAGATACTAAACGCGCAGCACGATGAAACCGATGAAACCGATGGTGTTTTGTCGGGTTGCAGTGGAAACATGCTTTCTCTCATGTTTCTCCCATAGAGAAGCAATCAAGGTTACGTGGATGGCCCCGAAGTCGGAGTTTTCCATAACCCATACACTCCATGGGACTGCCATATATGCCGATCAATTGACCCCCCTGGCACCACCCCTATGTAGACATATTATATGGCATACATGGAGCGTCTGGGTAATACCAAACAGGTGGTTTTGTGCTTCCATGATTTCCAGGGAGTGTATACAACTGTTCTCATTTCATGCCGCCAGCATTTCTCCTGCCTGCACTGCTCAAAGCTGCTTGCAACAGCGGTAGCGCTGCTTCGCAGGCCGCTACGGCAGCCATCGCGGAAGAAACCGGACGAAAGGTGAGCCCGGACCGAAAAGTTGTAACATCGGAGATCTTGTTGAGGAGCGGATCAGGATGCTAAATTGTTGGGGCTCCTACCAGGGCCTGAAAAAGGGGTAGACATGGACACCCCCAATCACGGCTGTTTGGGGCTATAAATAGACACCCCGACAGGAGGGTCCTGTCCTAAAGATGTTAAACTCAGTCTGTGGACTGTGGCCGGGGGGCTTCACATTGGGGTCGGTACCCACGTGGTGGTACGTGCTGAACTTTCTTCGTGCGAGCGTGCTGCACGTGCCAAGTGAATAGAATCTCTAAGTCAACGGTTTCGGATGATGACTGCATGGCAAACGTGCTGGTCCTTTCATGCATAGGATTCATATGGATTCACTCTTGTAGGAACGCGGTTGTGATGGTGAACTCGACTCGGTGCTAGAGGTCACTAGTTGAGGAGTGGTCACAGCTGGATTGGGGGAGTGGTGCAGCTGGCGGAAGCCACGGTGCAGCCAGTGAATGTTGTTATGGCTTCGTCTCGTCTGCAGTCTCCACTGCAGTCTCCACTGACTCAGCAGGAAATCCCTGGAACATACCAGCACCCTCCTGGCCAGGTGCTTCTGTTAGGGTCTCTAAACAGCCGAACCTTGGAGGGTCCTGGTAGAGCTTCACCGAACTTTCTGCCTCTTCTGTGAAACGTGGGGACTACCTTAAAGTCCTTGCGAATGTTAGCTAGCACCTTGTCTGCAAAGACCTTGTCTCCGACCATGAACAAGTCATCAACATGGAGCACCTCCCTATAGTCACTCCAATATCAAATGGTTGGGCAGGTGATCCACGTACTTCCTGGGTATGTCCAAGAGTTCCAACTGCAACTCGCTGATCCTGGGCAGGACTTGGTCCCTCAAAACGAACCCAAAGCCCTGACCCCGACCGACATTAGGAGGGAGCATCTCATCGTGGTGTAGAAAGCACGATTGTGAAATCACAGTGCAGTGATCTGCCCTTGAGTCCTTTAGGCGAACATGGACAAGTTCAGGGCTGCCAGACTGAATTGGTGAAGAAACCATCTCGGATATCCATTGTTCCGGATCTTTGCATTTGATCTTTAGAGGTGTGAGAACAATGATACGATGGGTGACGCGACTTGGTCATCAAAGCCCTTTTGGTTCGATTCACCCAACAAAAAGGAGCATCACTTGGATTGCCTCAGGAACCCCAAAAACAATCTTCTCCAAGCAGGTATTCACCAGTATGGGCACTGGCCAGCATGGGCACCTCAGGAAACGAGTTGCTTGGTATGCCATCAGTTCCCAAGCGAAATGGAGCCGAATCCCATCAACTCCCGGTCCCATGGGGCCTGACGAACAGTGCTTCGGATCGGATTCTGACCGAAGTTTCTTGAAACCGATCCCTGTCCCAGACACGACCTAGCTGGGACTGCCATAGTACTGCCGAGAAACGGCCAGGGGTGGTGCCAGGGGGTCAATGTATATAGGATTATACCAGCACCCTCCGACAGCGTGCTAGTTGAGGGGCCCGTTGGACCCTGTCTCCGGTCGAACCATTGGTGACCTGTAGAGTCGGGTCCTGGTATAGGCATAGATGCCATACATGGAGTGATCTGGGTGTTGTGTATTTTTCAATCCGGAAGACCCCCCCAAGGATCGCCGGGAATAGTCGATGGGTCGATGGAACCCGAACAAAACAAGGGGAGGCCCAACTGGGAGGTCCTCCCTAATGTTTGGATTTGCAGCTCCCTACCTGGAACAACAGACGTATTCACCAGGTTAGGAAATTTACCATGTAGGTAAAATAAACGATCACCTTAAGCAAAACCAGGAGTTTGAACTACCCAGCCAGTGTGCTGGACGCCAACACTTCCTGTATCGATGCGTGTTCTTTCGAAGATATACGGACCCCCAACGAAGTCATCTATGTCAATCTTCCAATCCTGGACGGGTCACGGCCAAGAGAGGTGGAAACTTGAACTGGGACCTCGTGCAAGAAATAGTCTTACAAACCCCTACTACTCAACTGGGACCCTTTCTTTGTTGTATATAATATGGGGTAGCCTGGGATAGGCGATGTATAGGGCTGTGAAGAAATTTTCGTTAGATCGTCCTCCATTCCACCCACCCAGGGAGGGACGCCACCTCTGGCGGGAGCCAGTCATAGCCCTCCTGCGAAGCGATGAAATCATGATTCGGGGTCCAGAAACGGACATTTGCGTCTCCCACAAATTAATGTGTGGCTGTGCGTAGCGAAGGGTTCTTGTTTAATTCTGGGGGTATAGACTTTGGTTCGCGACCGGTGGTCGTACAATTCGCAACTGTCCGCAGGTGACCGCAACCGTTCGCGGCGCTGACATTGGGCGAAGGTTTTGGAGAAGGTTTTGGATGGAACATGTCAGATTCGTGTGAAGTAGCGAGGAAACGTGTGGAAACGTAACAGGGTGAAGTGTGAAGGATGATTCTACTGCGCAGGTGTAGCATGTTGTTCGATCCTCAGCTTTCTTCGCTGTGAGATTGGGATTGGCGTTTAAAGGGTGGTGTTTTTGAGGTCAGTGGTGGATGTGGCTGTGGCATTGGGATTTGCGTTTCAGGCTGTTCCTTCGAAGCTATGCTTTGGTGACAAGTCTCAGCAAATTGGCGATCTTGGTGGATGGGAGTGTGCTCAGAACATGTCGCGTGTGGTGGTGCAAATTATGCTGAAGACAAACATGTCATATCCTTTTCGGTGTTGGAGGTATCAATGATTAAATTGCGTCGCAGGCGCAGGGAATCGTAAGGTTGTGATCTGGTGCTGGTGAGTGTCACTGTCCCAGCGGTTGTAGTTTTGAGGGGCTGGGATTGTGAAACTGCTTGGCAGGGACGTTCTGGTGACACTTCCCACTTCACTTGAAGTCTCGGACGTAATGCTCGTTTTGGAGACTTTGACGCCGCTTGACTTGAGTCTCGTAAGACATGCGTGTCTTGGAGACGTGACGGGTGATTTAACGCACTTCCCACTGTGGCCGCGCAAAGCCGCATGGCACAGCGACATCACAAACGCAATTACACAGTGTGCAACAGACTAGATACAACACTGTAACTTTGAGCATCGTGGGCGCTGCCAATCTCCCCAGCAACACGCCGAATTTACACCAGCATGCTTCTTCTCCCCATGCCACGGGCTCACGCAAACGAACCATGCACAAATTTAAGCACCTTAAAGCACAATTATAGGACCGGATAACCCCGCATGTTAACAACTTCACCGGACACAGGAGCAGACACTTGGTGGTGGTTGGTGGTTCGTGGTGGTTCGTGGTGGTTGGTTGGTGGGTTGGTGGTGGTTGGTTGCTGGTTGGTGGGTGGTGGTTGGTTGGTGGTGGATGGTTGGTGGTGGTTGGTTGTTGGTTGTTGGTTGGTGGTGGTTGGTTGGTTTTGGTGGTTGGTGGTTGGTGGTGGTTGGTTGGTTTT